TGAACTTTTATCAAGAGGAGCGGTTGTGCTAATATCATGTGAAGTTTGATTGTTTTGATTTGTCGGAATAACTTCTGACGTTACATCGGCCACCGTTCTTTCTTTAATTATTTTTTCTTTGCGTTTTGCATCTTCCTGTTGGGTGCTTGATAAATCGGTACTGATGGATAACTCCAGTTTTCGCTTTGCTGTATTGGACTTAACATCTTCCGGTACTAAATCTTCGATCCTCAAGTCTGTTGTATGTGACAGCTCTCGTAGACTACCCACAGATTGGGACCGAGTCGGCGCCAATATTGTATCATTTGTCAGGTTCGATTCTTCGATCTTAAAATTTACAATTACAGAATATTTATTTCATAATAATACCATTATGTACTTACTTCTCCTGTAACCATCAATTTTTCGCTCTCTAATTGCGGTGGAGGTGGTGCCAACGACAATAACAAATCTAATCGTACCGGAGTCTGATTCGCCAGCTCTTCGGATACATCTAAGCAGTTTTCCTCGTAGCCTTCGTTAACCCACCAATGCGAACAAATTTTTTGTACATTGGCTCGATATTTAGGATTTACAGTCAGCATTTCTCTTATTAGAGGCGATGCACCTAGTTAAAAAATCACAATTGTCTAATAATCGAATTGCACAGCCTCCAAAAGGTTAGCTTACGGCTAGGTTTTTTAGGTTCGAAGTAATCTCCTTGAGAAATTTGTTTGACTAGTCTCTTAAAATTACTTCCGTCAAAAGGCATGGCACCATAAACTAATGTATAAAGGAGAACGCCTAATGACCAGCAATCGACTTCAGGACCTTGATATGGTGTACCTTTTACTATTTCAGGAGAAGCATACAGCGGCGACCCACAGTAGGTTGACAAAAGTCGTTGATCGTCGAAGATATTCGACAAACCAAAGTCTGCTATCTATAACAATTACATAAAATTTTGGAAAAATAATTTTTATTTTGTTTTTCAATTACTTTGGCGTTTCCGTTTTCGTCTAACAAAATATTTTCCAGTTTTAAATCTCGATGGCAAATTTTATGCTTGTGGCAATAATAGCATGCAATAGAAATCTGCCTGAATATTCTCCTTGCTTCTTCTTCAGACAGTACTTTTCTTTCTGACAGATAATCATACAGTTCTCCCCCGGCTGCGTATTCCATAACTAGTATCATTTTTTCCCTATTTTCGAAAACTGTAATATCAAAATGAAGTTCCCAATTAAAAATCAAAACACTACATCTTCTGTATACCTTCGTAAATATGGATAATATTCGGGTGTTGAACAGAAGACATAATTTGTATTTCTCTTCGTATTCTAATTAGATCTGCTTCTGTTTCAATTTTTGATTTTTTTATAGTTTTGATAGCTACCTCCTGTCCTGTTTCCTTATTTATTCCTAATTGTACTTTTCCATATGTTCCTTGCCCAAGTTTTTTTATTATGTCAAACCTTATAAATAGATTTTTTATATAACGATTTAAAAGATTCCTTCCAAGTACAGCCTCAGACATTTTAAAGTTTTCACTCTTTATACTTACCGCTGCTTTAATTTTTTTTTGTGATTATGTAGCCTAACCCCTCCTGTATTTTCAATCCCTCCCATAATGTTGTTAATGTTTGGTTCCCCTGATACTACCATTTTTCTAAAAAAGTAAAAGACCACTTTTAATTCTCATTTGTTCCAAACATTCCATTTATACTTTTATTACTTTTAAGAATAAACAAAAACTCACACTTTTACAAATACACAACAATTTAATCAAGTAAAAGAAAAGATAAGTTAGGTAAAATATTAACTCATTAATGTCAGGAACACTTTATTTTCAATTTTATAGGACAATACAGTGTTTTTTACTACTTTTAATTTTAAGATATCAGTTCCCTGCACACAGGTGTTTTTATATTTCTGCAGGCTTCTGAAAACTGCCTTATTAATAAATAAATAATATCTGTTTTCACCATCCTACATATAATTAAAAAAGGTAAAAACTAATAATTTTAAACCATCTTAAAAACTTCTGGTGATAATATTAAAACTCACACACAATCTCTCTCTCTTAAATTTAAATGCCATGGTTACTTGTAATTGCAGGAAAAATATTTTCACTGATTCTTTTCTCTGTGTGTGGGCGGAGCGCCATTAGCCACTACATTAATATATTATATGAATTTGAGGACATTAAACTGATTAGGAACAATAAAACGACATAGCTGAAAGTTCGTGAGCATTTTTTAACCGCTCTATTGAACTGATTCTCTGTTAATAACGTGTATAACTTTAAATTAAATAATCTGTACTGTAGATAGCTACATATATCGTACGTATGAAACAGAATTATACACACAAAAATACATTTATTCTAGCGCACACGTATTTATACCAAGTGGACGCTAATATATGTATAAGAAATATTTTTTAAATGATGTGAATACAGAGTACAGCGCAAATTGCACTTGCTATTATTTTATTTAGAGTAGCATTTTTCAATTCGAAAAATAAAAATTAAGAAAGTTGTTTCTACTGCATTCTTACCTTTTAATTTCTTGAAATTTTCACAAATAACGTTAGTTAACTTACAACAAACTCACACAACATTTATTTCACTATTTAACTTTAATTTAACGTTATTTATGCACACAAAAGATCAGTAATCAACCAGATTTGGGGCAAATTAGTAGCATTTTTGACGTAAAAAATGTCTATAACTCGCCATTCTTTTTTCAGAATAAAAATAGTTCATGACATTGGAATGTCTGGTGGTTTTATTTTGCCGGCTAGGGCTTTTGACTCTTATCTATGGACTCTGATCATAGATAATGCTTTTACCAAGTTCATGAATTAAGATTAATGACGTTACTGCAAATATTTTAAATTTTTGTATTTTTATTTGAAATAGATATAATAACAGTAAGGCACAATAAATTAATGTTTTAGTAACGGTACAGGAGACTAAACGACATTTGATAGTCTTGTATCTATACTCGTGTTTGATAGATAAGTTTCATACATTAGTTCACTAATACCATAAATTTGTAGAAATTGTAGGGAGCGCTGACATCGAATGGTAAACTACAATCATGCTCCTATAGAAGACATATATTAATGGACGTGCCTCAGCCGTATGTCGTTGTAATAATTTCTTGGCTCGAAGAGTGAGGGAGATGGCATATGGTTTCCGACTAGTGTTATCTCTTTCATTATACGCTTACGAACTATTGTGAAGGAGATGGATATTGTCCGAAACTTCATTCCTTCTCTTTTTTGTGTTGTACCACAATTCTGACCGCTAAGGCATGTCCCTAGTAAAGGTCGATGTGTTGAATTAAGCCAACATAGTGATTACAGCGCCTTACTATTTTATCCAAATTTTTGGGACACTTATAGTACTCCCTATGATTACTCCAACATCATACCAACCTCCATAACCATAGATTACAAACTGTATATATATATATCTTTAATCATCTTTAATCTATGCACATGTCTATGCACCATAACCACGAAGATTGTTGTTGGTTTACGACACGTGCTGGTTACGAAGAGGCTTTAATTGATTTTTGTTAAATGAAAAAAAATGGGAAAAATCAAACATAATGAAGTTGCGGGTGATATTGACGCAGATATAAATAATTTGACAGTACAAACAGAGGATACTGAATTGTCCTACGAAGAAAAGTTGAAGTACGTTAATGTCATAGCAAAACCCATGGCATCCAAGAAACTTGCAAAGAAAATATTTAAATTAATAAAAAAAGGTGAAATGATGTGTTTCTCAATTTTCCTATTTTACAATATGCTTGATTGTTGTGTAATTGTAGCGTTAAAACACAAAACATACATAAGGAATGGATTAAAAGACGTCCAGTCTAGAATACGGAGAGGTGAGAGAGGATTAGTAATTTTTGCCGGCGATGTTTCTCCTGTGGAAATAATGATACATATTCCGGGTGTTTGTGAGGATAAAGAAATTCCTTATTGTTATGTTCCATCCAGGTATGATCTGGGAAATGCACTGGGGACAAAACGTGGTTGTTTAATGGTATTAATAAGAGAAAAAGATGATTATAAGGATGCTTTTGATGAATGTAAAAGTGAAATTAAGAATCTTGCTTTACAATTAGAGTAGTAGTAGTAGTAGTAGAAGTATTTTTCTGAAACTTCATTAGAAAAGTTTTTATTAAAACAAGTTTAAGCAACATCTGTGCGTTAGGGTATGAATTACTTCAATAAAACGTTTAAATATAGAGAAAACATTTAATGTTAATTTTTGGGTTTCTAATATGTATTATAAAACACTACAAAACATTTGCCATCAAAATAAGTATCAATGAAAATAATATACTACATTTTTCTTCAACATATAGATAAAAAGAGAACAACATAGTTGCATTTAGACATGCTTTCTTAATATTGGTATTAAAATTGTGTATGGAAAAAGAAACTTTAATATTGCTTTTTTTGGTATCTATATGATTTGCATTAACAGTTTCTAGGCATTTAGATGATGTGGCAGCAATTTTTTTTACTCACGATAGTCACTCACGAATCTATAATATTATGTATAAAAGACACAAGAAACGATTTTATAAATACAATTCGATAATACTAACGAAATAAGTTACAATTAATATTTCACGATATTGATAACATGTACACTACTACAAGCAAATTGTTGGATTTTTAGGAGATAATCTTCACAAATATCTGGCAGAAAGGTAATCGTAATTNTAGCGTTTATTGGAAAAAAATAAATTAAATAAGTTAAAACAACAAAAACAAGCATTACTAAAAACTACAAACAAAATTAAATTTTTCTGAGTACAGTAACATTTCTTCCTAAATAAACCAATTAGTAACATAAATACATCAAAATATGCCAACAATTTAAATATTTCGAAAATTAAACTTATTAATGTACATGTGTACAAAAATAGATAAGCAAATCTCAAAAAATAATTATAAAAACGGCAGTTATTCAATTATCATACACAATTTGCAATTGTAGTATTTATCGCCGTCAAATTCTATAAAATTACCAAAAAAGGAACATATTTAGTCAGAAAAAAAAATCATTCGCATTCAGTGGTAAAATTATACAGAATAGGTGAGAATAACTACACAGAAATCAATTCAGAACTGACCAAAAACGATTAAAAAAAAAAAACTATTCTACTAAGGGCACATCAAGAATTGTTGTCAAACTATTTTACCTCCTCTAGGTAGTGTTGCTGTGTGTGTAGGAGATTCGGAACTATTGAAAACTCTGTTTAAATCTGAACTAAGATCTCGAGTAACACTTCTTCGCCATGGCGTACTCAATCCAGACCCACCGTCTGAACCATGTTCCCGATTAAAGGCACGTCCTAACGGTGAACGCCTGCTTAATAAATAAATAAATCTCATAATCTCAGTGTACATCGTTGGTTTATTTAGACATAAAATCAAATAACATTATATTACACACAATCACTTACTTCACTTACTTAATTTTTGCCGTTTTTTTCTCATGTGAACAGGAATATTGCATGCTTGTAAGTAGAATAAAACAAAAAATAAACCTACTTAACAGAACAATGTTTTACTCACAGTCAAGAGATAATTTAAGCAGGGGAGCAACAACCTAGAGTCCAACGGTCAACCTCTTCACGGGTGTCTACGAAAATGCCTCTTTTAGAGAAAATTGAGCTATGTATACGCTAAGACCGACAGTTTGGCCACATAACTCTGTACGAAGACGTATTTAAACAATAATCTCAAGCACATATTGGATACATTGGACATGCGTGAACTGGCTAAAGAATTCGTTAATAACTGTACAATAACAAAGGATGGAATATAAACTGCCAATAAATAATTGTAATACATTTCCAGAACTATTTACTGCACATGACAAGGTTTTTTTGCTAACAACCGAGTAGACGCCTCCAGCCCCCTTTAGAGATTGTTGCGCCCCTGAATTTAACTGACTGCAAAAATGAACATTAAAATTGACGTAATTACCTGGATAAGGCTTCAAATCTATTGGGAAAATTCAAAAAGTTTCTAGTAAGCAAACTACTTCTTGGAAAGCCAGGATGCGAATCTTCAACATTCAATCTTGACGTGAGATCTCGTACCTAAAAAATATATAAACGTTTCACTTTCATGCCGCGCAGTTTACTTAAATGACTTCGTTCAACTAACCCTAGAGAGCAAAGTTGAAAATAGATTTTCGGCGGTTAAAATTTCAAATCCATCATCGTCATCGTCTTCGCCAGAACTGAACGAGTCGTTGCGTTCAAGAGTTGCTCTTCTTGGCCTTGAACTCCTAACAATAAAAATTATTAACAAATTAGTGATTAATGTATCAGAAACAGAAATTAGTGGCGGTGTAACATAAATATAAATAAATTATTACAACAATACAATTAGTGTAATTGCTCATTACATGTATCGTAACTAATATAAACCATTCAATATTATTAGGAACAGGACATGTATGCACGTACCTCAAACTGTGCATTCTAAATAGATCTTTCTTTGAATCCTCGTCGCTATCTTTTCCGAACGAATTTCTGCGAGGTATTGCCGAAGAGAAAACTGACTCATCTTCAGACCCTTCACGGTCATTAATTAACGAACTATAACGTATATTCAACAATTAAACTGTTATATTATGCTGTGCAATATTTCAAAATTCTGTCAACATAACATTAAGGAAAAGTACTAGGCACTAATCCTACAAAATTTAACATGCAACAACAATTTTAAATAATTAGAAAAACCGTAAATTTTATAATGCACCTCATTCTTTTTGCTCGTCCAAATTTACTTTTATTTGTCATGGTACTCGTGGTGCTACCAGTTTCACTGGGTTCCAAACTTCCTGCTCTTGGTGTTACGTAACCGCCGCCTTCAACGGCAATGGGTATAATGTACTCTCTAGGAGACTTCCGTATGGGTTCACCTTTAAGTGATGTGCTGTCAGAATCGGATTCTTGCGTCGACTGTCGCGATAAACTTTCCGATCTGTTTTTATGAACATTGATTAAAAATAGTTATACTCTAGTTCTTTACTTTAACTTTCATTACCTTTGAGACGCGGAAGAACGTCTTGTTTGATGAACCTTAAAAGGTGGTTTCGCACTTGTTGGCGATTGCCCATCATCTTTTGAATTTTCCTCATACGAAATTGGAATAATTCTTTCTCTGGACTGTTTAGATCTGCTTTCATCATCAAGAGACGACGACCTAGGTGAATGTGGTTTGCTTTTAATATTCATGGTTTATATCAATGAATACATTCTTACAGTTACTTAGATCTTTGACAACATCTGTATCTCGTAAGTTGTGTACAATTCTCTAATAAGAATATTGTACACCCTTTTTAAGCAATAAATAATAATAATAATATGCATACACTAAATAGTAAATAAGAACATCTTATAAGGTTCACCTTATGTTTCCAACTGGTGAAATGGGAAATGTAACTTCACTTCTTTGAGTGGGTAAATTAGGAGCTGCTTCTACGTTATGAGCCATTTCAGTCTTGAACTCCATTACTGCAGGTTTAGGGATAGGGTATTTGAGATTGATTTCTGCTTTGGTTTGTTTCCTTCGGGGTATGGTTGCCGATTTTAGCATTATTTTAGCTGATGATACTTCATCGTTTGTCGCAAATTTCTCCGCTATTTCTTCCGATACGGGCGAAGAAAGTGGTAATTGTTCTATCTAGAAATATATTTGATTCGGTTAATATATAAGTAATATTATTTTATATTTTTTAAATTAACGTACTTCCTTACGCGAATCAAATTGTTCGGAAACAATTCCGATATTTCCCGATGCAGATCTTCCAGACGAGCCAAAAGGTATGGGAGGCTTTCTTCCAACACAAGGCCTCGATTTAGATTTTCTAGTTCCTTCTTTATCCAAGGCCGTAGAAATTATACTGACCGCTTTCTTTTTTCTTTCATCCACATTTTTTTCAGGAACAGTGCTTTCAGTTAAAGTGTTTTGTAGCTGATCTGACTTTTTGATATTTTCGGTGATATTATCAATCTTAACAGAGGACGGTTCGTTACTTGTTTCTTCCTTTGTTTGAATAGAATTTTGTTTTTCTGCAGTCTTTTTAAACGCGGTGTTTTTTAATTGAGGCACATTACTACTTGAGGATAAACTTGCCTTTCGCTCAAATTCTTTCCTAAATCCTCCAACACTCACACCTGGTATAACAATTTTCTTTGATTTTTCATTATTTGACTTGTCGCCTGACGAAACGAGATTCTGAAACTTCTCGGCTGTTTCAAAAATTTTTGAGCGTCGTCTTTCAACAGACTTCTCTAACTTCTTATCATCCTCAACATTTTTTTCTGATAAATTCTCAGTCGGACTAGTTGCAATTTTTCCTGAAGTTGCGTCCTTTTTACAGTCAACCAGATTCTCATTTTTGTCGGTAAGCACTTTTTTTTTAGAAACCTTTTTCTTAGACGGAATTTTAGATTCTTCTGTTTTCGATTCCTTCTTCGCCTTTTTCTCATTTTCTTTGCCCTTTACACTATCTTTTTCTGTTTTTGTAGTAACACTTTCTTTTTCGATACTCTTTTTATCGTTGGTCGTCTCTTCTAAATATTCTTTTGCTGGAGATAAAGGACTTTTCTGAGTTTTTGTTTTGTTTGCTTCATTTTTCTTTGCATCCTCGATAATTTCTGTGCAGGTAGCGCCCATCTTAGACGGGTCAATATTTTCTTCGTTATCGACGTCCATTCTTTTAGTTATAGTACGTGTTGAACTTTTATCAAGAGGAGCGGTTGTGCTAATATCATGTGAAGTTTGATTGTTTTGATTTGTCGGAATAACTTCTGACGTTACATCGGCCACCGTTCTTTCTTTAATTATTTTTTCTTTGCGTTTTGCATCTTCCTGTTGGGTGCTTGATAAATCGGTACTGATGGATAACTCCAGTTTTCGCTTTGCTGTATTGGACTTAACATCTTCCGGTACTAAATCTTCGATCCTCAAGTCTGTTGTATGTGACAGCTCTCGTAGACTACCCACAGATTGGGACCGAGTCGGCGCCAATATTGTATCATTTGTCAGGTTCGATTCTTCGATCTTAAAATTTACAATTACAGAATATTTATTTTATAATAATACCATTATGTACTTACTTCTCCTGTAACCATCAATTTTTCGCTCTCTAATTGCGGTGGAGGTGGTGCCAACGACAATAACAAATCTAATCGTACCGGAGTCTGATTCGCCAGCTCTTCGGATACATCTAAGCAGTTTTCCTCGTAGCCTTCGTTAACCCACCAATGCGAACAAATTTTTTGTACATTGGCTCGATATTTAGGATTTACAGTCAGCATTTCTCTTATTAGAGGCGATGCACCTAGTTAAAAAATCACAATTGTCTAATAATCGAATTGCACAGCCTCCAAAAGGTTAGCTTACGGCTAGGTTTTTTAGGTTCGAAGTAATCTCCTTGAGAAATTTGTTTGACTAGTCTCTTAAAATTACTTCCGTCAAAAGGCATGGCACCATAAACTAATGTATAAAGGAGAACGCCTAATGACCAGCAATCGACTTCAGGACCTTGATATGGTGTACCTTTTACTATTTCAGGAGAAGCATACAGCGGCGACCCACAGTAGGTTGACAAAAGTCGTTGATCGTCGAAGATATTCGACAAACCAAAGTCTGCTATCTATAACAATTACATAAAATTTTGGAAAAATAATTTTTATTTTGTTTTTCAATTACTTTGGCGTTTCCGTTTTCGTCTAACAAAATATTTTCCAGTTTTAAATCTCGATGGCAAATTTTATGCTTGTGGCAATAATAGCATGCAATAGAAATCTGCCTGAATATTCTCCTTGCTTCTTCT